AAGCCATGCCGGGCAGCGGCCCCAGCGAGAGGATGACGTGGCCGGGCCCGGCCACCCCCGCGGCCCCCCCAACCCACCCTCTCTCCTCAGCCCCGGGGACACCGCCCATCCCGCCCCTCACCCGGACCCACAGCCTCATGGCCATGTCCCTGCCAGGCAGTAGACGGGCCTCTGCTGGATCCCGCAGGTGAGTCTCCCCAATGCCCAGAGCCTTGGCCTCTGAAGGTGGGGGCAGGGAGGGTCTCTGTCTCCAGTCCAACACCGGCTTGTTTTTGAGCAAGTCGTTGCCCCAGTTTTCCCATCTTTAAAATGGGCTTGCTGACACTGGCCTCAGGAACTATTTATGGGCTCAAATGACACAGTGGGTATAAAAGTCCTCTGAAGACTTAAACCATTGGATCCCTGCCGTCACCAGTATTGTTGTTCGATCTTCACAGTTACTGCAGGGACCACATGCAGCCTTCCACCGAGGCTCCCCTGGCCTCCCCGCGTGCCCCTCCTCCTGTCCCTCCTCCTGCCTGCCCCATTCCTCTCCACCTCTGTTTCAGTCCGTGCAGGGACCTTTCCCTCGGGGCTTGGGGGACCCTAGAAGTTGAGGACCCTTGGTAGGGGTAGCTGGGACCCCACCCTTGGCCCGCAGCCCTGCTCAGCCTTCTGGGGAGTCCCGAGGACCAGCCTCCTTCTGGTTTTCCACCTTGATTTGCACTGTCTGTTCTGTCACCCCTGTCTGTGCATCTCCCCGCCACGCTTCTCTCCCCGGCGGTGACCCTGAAGTGGGGGCCCTTTGGGCCGCAGCGGCCTGGCGGTGTTTGCCCAGTGTCCGCAGCTGCCCACCAGCCAGAACGAGCACCTGCCTCTTCTTCCTGCCTCCAGGCGCACCTCTCCCCCCGTGAGCGTGCGGGATGCCCACGGCACCTCTTCCCTCAGCAGCAGCAGTAACTCGGGCTCCTGCAAGGGAAGTGACAGCAGCCCCACGCCCAGGTAACCAGCCACTCCCTCCCACCCGGCCTGGCCAAGCTGGCTGGAACCCTGAGTGCCCTGAGGGTCGGGGGAGGTGGGCGTTCTAACCATCCCCAACTCTAGCACACTTCCCCGCTGTGTGACCTTGAGCAGGTCACTTCTCTCTGAGCCTCAGTTCCCATCTGTAAGATGGGTATGATCATACCCAGCTGCACGTAACCAAAGTCAGTAGCTGAGACAAACTGGGGGTGATGCTTTCAAAACAAGGGGCCAGAGGCGGGCAGCTCCCCAAAGTGTCAGGGACCCCATCTCCACCATCCTTGGAGTACAGCTGGCTCCTACACCTCCAGGCATCAGGTCAGCATCCAGGAAGGAAGAAGGTAGAAAGACCAAAGCCCCTGAACCCCCAGAGACTCGTGTTTTTGAGACAGGACACATTGCCCAGGAAATTCTGTCTGTACTGTGCTGGCTGGTGCCAGGTATGACTGGCTACAGGGAGAGTTAGTGGTGCCCAGTGTAGGGCCACCCAAGCAAACTGGGAGTTCTGTTGGAGAAAAGGCAAGAATGGATATTGGGAGGCAACTCATGGCATCCACCAGCCTGCTCTTCTAGGTGGTACACTGTGAGGGTGGCAGAGTGGAGTTGTTTTAGAAAGTGAAGTGTGTTACAAGTGCAGCATGTGCTTTGGGCTCTCAGCAAAGAGGAAAGGCAGGGTCGGTCTGGGGAGACGGGTAAGGAGAGCAGTGGGTCCTCAGAGACCAGGACGTGCAGGCTGTGATGGCGGCGCCCATCCTGCTTCCCTGCGTTGAAATACAAGGAGCGCGAGGGGGGAGCACGGGCTTAGGATGTGATTCAGTCTGAGTCTCCACTCCCTCATCTGTAAAGTGGAGCTTACAACCCGGAGGCTTCAGGGAGTTGATATCTGCACCCACCACACACTGCTGCTGGCCCGTAACGCGTAACCGCTCTCATTAGGACTGGTTCAACTTGAGAATCGTAGGCAAGAGAAGGCCAGGAGACTCTGGCCTGCAGCTTCCATGGCCAGAGCTCCTCCTGGGAAGGCTTGTCTTGAGTGAGTGTCATTTGTGTGACCAGATCACACTGAGGTGGCAGTTCTGAGTTTTCCACCATGACACGCATGATGGGTGACACACATATGCCGGACCCATGCCCCAGCATCCTGTCTGTAACTGCCCCCAGAACGGGGTGGTGGTGATGTGTGAGTGAGATTGATGATGCATTAGTTTACCTTTTGAAAAGTATATAATTGGCAACTTTAATACTTTTTTATTTTTGCCACACATGTCATAACTGCACCCCATGGGGGCAGTCCCAACCCTGAGGCTGAGAGCGGCTTCCATGCAAGGGTCTCCTTGCCACCATCAGAGTTGCTGGTGAGCAGTGCCTTGGCTCTGGCCTCACTATAAGTAGCCAGGTGTTCCAAGGTGTGAATAGCTGAGGGACATGAATTGTAGTATACTTCTCTTCTCAGGTATGTATAGTATATATGTAAATATATACTAGATTAAAAAATATTTTTTCCCACAAAGAGCTAGTGACTAAAAATATATGAGTGTTAAATGTTATATTGAGAAGGAAAACTGCTGAAAGCATATGGAAAAAAGTTAAAATAGTTACTTCCTTTATAATCCTCAGCTCTTACTAGTTTAAGTAATCCTGGTTCCTCCACCCCGGCGCAGGAAAAAGGCCTCTTTTTCTCACCACAGCTCTGGGTGCCTCTCGCCAAAGCCTTTGCAGGGCACCAGGATGTCTACTGGCGTAACACGTGGGGCTCAGGGCCCTTGCTGGCTTCCTCTCTTTTGGAAGGAGATTTCTTAGAGCCCATCAGAGGGGACCCCAGGGTCCCACCTGATACCACGCCTCTTCCCCTTTTGCCACACAGAAAACAAGCCAGTCTGTGACCTGACTTGGGTTAAACTTAGAGGCCAGGAGCTGAGTGAGTAGAAGAGAATC